ACTGCGTGCCCGACTTCTACAGGTTGGCAACGGGGGAGCGTCCCCCAGCTTGGGAGCTGGGGTTTGGGAGCTGGGGTGTGGCTGCCCCTGTCACCCAACAGGGTTCACACCACTGCTGTTTGCCCCCACCAGGAAATACGCTGCAGTTTGCAGCGCCTGCCAGCGCCCCATCGTCCCCTCTGAGGACAAGGACACCTACAAGATCGAGTGCCTGGGCCGCAGCTTCCACGAGAGCTGCTACCGCTGCGAGGTACGGCCCCGGCGGGGCTGGGGGCCCCCAAAGCCAAGGGGGGGGCACTGAGCCTTGGCTGGCACGGGGTCCACAGCACCCGGGGTTATTTGTTATCCCACAGTTTATCTTGTAAGGGACGGGGAGGGGGAAATAAATAAATAAATCCGGTGGTGGTGGTGATGATGCATCTGGAGGAGACCTTCTGCTTCACAGGCTTTTGATGTAGTTTGTTGCTTTTTCCAAGCGCTGGTGGGTTTTGCAGGAAAACGGGATGTGATGCAACGTAAGAACCCCCTAAAACATGTTGTCCCTTTCCCCTCTCGCCCCCAGAGCTGCGGGACACCACTGTCCCCAGAGCTGACGGAGGACGGGTGCTACCCCCTGGACAGCCACCTCCTCTGCAAGTCCTGCCACGTCCGCTGGCGGAACGAGTCGTCCTGCTGAGACCCCGCGGCTCATCCATCTCTGTCTTCCAGTGCCAGCCACCAGAAAGGGGGTGTTTTGAGGGTGACCCTGGGTGTCTGCTGCACCCCAAAATTCCTGCAGAACTGGTGTTTTCATCTCCAAAACGTACCTGGGACCCCGACCCCCAGGGCTGGCCAGGGGAGCCGCGTGGATGTGTCCCGACACAGCTCTGCGCTCACCATGAACATGGAATGCCCTCACAGAGCAGCAATGGCAGAGCAGAGGTTTTATTCTTTATTTCTTTTTAAAAATTCCTTCTTCAAGGCCAGTTTGGTTTTCTTGGGTGTTTTTTCTTCCTTCTTGAGCTTCTTTGGGGTTTCACTGAAATGTTTCTCTCTGCAGAGAGCGGGCACTGATTTAGTTACTCGCAGTTAAATAAAACCCCGAGTCTAAAAACTCTCATTCCTTTCATCCGCCCTACATTCCAAACCTATCAAATCTGAGTTTAAAAATAAGGAAAAAAAGCCACTTTTTGGATTTTATAGGCGTGGCAAGTCAGGTCACTCAGGTCCATAACAGTTGATTTTGGGGTACGGCTATTTGGCAGGTGCCACTGTCACCCGGGGGAGAGCCAAGGTTGTTTTTTGGGGGTGGATTTGATGATCTCGTGGGGTTGATAAAAGGGTTTTAGGTGGTGATTTGGGGTTTTTTGCTGGCTGTCTGTCCTGGAGCCGGCAGAGGGCAGCTGGAGCACAAATTCCTCCATCAGGCAGCAAAACTCCAGCTAAATGCATCCAACAGCCCTGTTTCTGCACGTTATTTGAGATAATACCACTCTGCCATTGGAAACGTTTTGATCTTCTCTTTGTCCAAGCCCCAAACCAGCAGAAATTAGACCATTTCTCTGCACATCCAACATCTGCACAACCGATGTCGCCGGTGCTCGGTGGTTTTGTTCGTGAGGGCGTTGCAAACCAGGCGGAGAAACATCTCAACTTTCTTTTTAACCGAAAGTGCTTAAAAAGCCACAAATCGAGAGCAGAAAATAGCAAGAGCATGTGAGATGATGTTTAATGCTTTCCTGATGGAAAGAGGGAGCTGTAAACAAAGAAAACCACCACCAGAGCAGCAGCTCTGGGCTCCTGGGTCACGTCCGACATCTCTCTGGCACGTGCTGTATTTATGAATGAAGGGGTTAATGATGGTTAATTAATCACATCAACAACTATTTCCTGACGACTCTTCCCCGTCTGCAAAGCCGATTACTCAGCGTTCGTTAACGAGCGTCTCCGGCCCATCAATCAGCTCGTAACTCGCTATAAACAAATTTATAAATAAGATGTTAAAGTTGCGGTTTGTCCGGGTCACGTAAGTTGGTGGCTTTGGGTTTCGTTGGGCGGGAACCTCGTGTCCCATGCCGGGGAATTCCCGTGCTCAAAGTCAGCTCTCTCTCTTTCCAAAGTTTGTCATTCTGTGGAGAAAACCAGGCATCAAAACGATGATATAAAAAAGTAAAAAGATGTGGTGGCGGCCAAAGGGAGCGGGAAAGGGAAGGCCCGGGAGTTGCTTGGTTTTGTGCAATAAGGGTATTTTTCCAAGCAAGGTTTTTGGGAAGGATGGAAGTGCTGATGCTGAGAGGTGTTTTGGATGTGTTATTCCAAGCTGTGCTATCCCTCCACAGAGGAATGGTGGGAAGGGGTTGGATATCTCCCCTACAAAGCAACCCAGGATGCACTGTTGGCAGTGGGACTGCGGTGAGTTTTGGCTGGAGGGAGGCAGGGAAATGCTTTTATTGACATGAAGCCTTGGAGAAGGTCCTGGAAAGCGAGGAGAAAGGAAAGGCACAACTGGAGAGTTTGGCAGCACAACAAAGGGATGCAGAAATGGTCAGATTTGGCGTGTTTTTCCCAGAGTGGAGGATGACAAGGGACAGGGATGGATGGACACAGAGGTAAGAGGATAAAAGGCTGATTTAAGCCTTTTTCTTCCCGGATAAGAGGAGAAGTGTTACGAGTCGAGGCACAGGGAGTGTCACTGTGGAAAGCACAGCCTCGTGTTTTCTCTCGGGAGGATCTCGAGGAATTTCGAGCTGCGTGCAGGAGAGAGATCCTGCAGGGTGAGGCTGCGGGAGCTGGATCCCATCCTGCTGCCAAGCAAACCCTCGCCGGCTGTGACGGCTCAGCCCGTCCTTGAGCTGCTCACCCTGTCACGAGCACTTCTGCGAGTGCCCAGGTTTGCTGGCAAAAGTAAACCGAACACATCCCACACAGAGCAACAGGATTTTGGGGGGCTGGGATTCCCCAAAACCTTGTGAAGCCCCCCGAGACCACCCAGGTTTAAAAACCATTTGAGGTCTCTCATCTTATCCCAGTGGCAGTGGACAAGGGCAGAGAGGATCCCACCCCTCCGAACGCCACTGGCCGGGCCCTGCCCTTCCCTTGGCTGCTGGAATAAGCCCAGCAGTCCTTGCAATCCCTCTTGGCAGGCTGAGGAGAGCGGGAAGGACCTGGCTGCCCTCCAAGGAGCAGCAAATGCAAATATTTCTTCACTCCAGGCTGGGTGCGGCCGCGGATAAAATTTCCTCAGGCTTTCCCAGCGAAGGCATCCGATATCCTACTCTGCTGCGAGGCCAAGTTGCTCCCGGGAATACAACGGTGCATCCCATAAAAAACCTCCAAAGATTATCCTTCTTGCAACTTGGACCTTTAAAAAGAGGTTTTAAATTAAATAAGGAGCTGCCAGGCATGGGTGTAGTGGTTTTAAATCAGCGGTTAAAGTGCGGCTTTGTAGCAAAAAAGACCTTTTTGCAGGTTTTGTTGGCAAATTGGAGATTTTTGGTGTGGCACAAGGAATGTGAGGTGATAAAGGGAAAAGGCTGAAAAGTGCCTTTCCCCCCAGCATCCCCTTGGTCAGCTAGGAGAAATGGGAAAAGCAGAGGGAGGGACGAGCTGGAGAGGGAGGGATGAGTCGTATTCCTTGTGTGCCTTTGCTGTGCCATCACGATTTCCAAGGTGCTGGGAAGGAGCTGGAGCAGAGGGAAACACTGCAGGAAGGGAAACTGCGGCTGAAACAGTGCCCAGGGCTTTGCTGGGTGGAAAAGGCGCTGGGAGCAGGGTTGGGTGCTGGTTTTCTCAAATAGGATGGAAAGAGCTACAGGAGAACAGGGATTTTCCTTTGGATATCCCAGGTTAATGGCAGCCACGTCCCAGCTGGCTTGCTGCAGTAACGTCCTTCCCCACAGAGTGTTCAGATCTATTTCCTGCACTTTCCTGTCACCAACACAACCTAAAAATCCAACATTTCTTAAATGAAAAGTGGTCTGATCCTGCTGGCTAAGAGAGACAAGAGAAAACCAGCAGGGATTATGTCGGCAGCAGCCAAGCCCTGGATTTCTCTGGCTTCATTATACAGCACAGGTGGGATATATATTAAAAAGAAGAAAAATGCAATATTATAATATTCTTCTCCCCCCCCATTTTCCTTGCAAAAGTGAACCACCCACTGATGCAGTTTTAAAGCACATCAGTTTTGATAACACAAGGGGAAAGGGATGCAGACTGATGCGCAAGCGCGTTACCAGGCTGCAAGTGCTACACTGGCTTATTTATAAAAAAACCCAAAAAACCAACAAACCAACAGATAAAAAGCCCAACCCACCCTATTTCTGAAAATAGACACACAGCACATGCCTGCAAATGGGGTTTTGCCATTTTGTATCTCAGATTTCCTTCATCATATCAGCAATTTACAGCATCCCACAGCCTTATTTCCTGAAAATTAACAACTTTCACCCAGATTTGGCTTTGAGCAGTTTAAGTTACACCTTTATTTTGCTGGACTGTCCAGTAGAGCCTGTGAGGTGTTTTATTAAAAATCACGGATATTTCTCGCAGAGGTTATCCTGTTTGTCAAGGCGGCTTATTGACCTTGGGGATTTATCACTGAGGAAAAAAAGGTGGAGGAGAAGGATGAGGAATAATATATAAATAATGGCAGCTTCAACCCCTGCAAAGGAGAAAAATGGTGGAAAAGCAAAGAGTTAAGCATAAAATATATAATCAATATATCGATACATAAATACATAATAATAGTATAATATAATATAATAATGTATCTCCTAATTCTCTGTGCAGCTAAACTTTCCCTTACAGCCCGGCCTGGGGAATATACTTTAATCTCATTTATTGGATTGCTTCGTCCAAGGATGGATCTTGCTGAAGTGATCAGGCTCCTGATGGCGTATTAAGGGCAACACGTTTTGTGAAGAAAAAGAAAGATTTGTGAAGAAAAAGAGAAATAAGTGCTAAAAGGAGGTTTTTGTCTGACAAAAGGAGGCGGCGGCCGGGGCTGCCCCTCACGGCCGCCTCAGGCGCTGCCCCCCCCGCCTCGCTTCACAAAATGGCCGCCCGGCGGGCCCGCGGTGTGAGGCGACAAAATGGCGGCGAGCGGGCAGCGAGGGGAAGGACGGGCGAGGGGCGGCTGCGGGGCCGGGGTGGCGGGCGCGGGCTGAGGCCGTGCCAGGAGCACGGCGGAGGGGCTCTGATCCTGCGCGAATTCCCTCCGGGCAGGCAGCGAAAGCGCTGCGGGTGAAACCTGACCTTCTTCTTCCCCCCCCTCCCTCCTCCCCTTTTCTCCTCGCCGCCTTTGCAAAAGGATGTGAAAATGCCCAGAAATGCGCATTTTCACTCGGCCATGGCGGAGCCCTCCGTCTCCCCCTCACGCTTCAGCCCCCCCCCCCCCCCCCCCCCCCCCCCCCCCCCCCCCCCCCCCCCCCCCCCCCCCCCCCCGCTCTGGCGTTACCCCTAAAATATTGTATCTTTTGCCTCATTTTTGGCCCAGAATTCCGCTTTTCACACGCGCCCCCTCCCCACCCCCGTCCCCCATCATCATCACCACAAGCACCCCAAGGTGGGTAGTTTAATGCCTAATTCTGTTCTCTTGCACCGCTTTTCTCCTTCGCAGGGGTCGGAGCCGCCATCTCCCGCTTTCCTCACGGCATGGAAAATACCCAAACGTGCTTGAGGGGAAAAAAAAACAAACCAAGGAGAAATCCCCTAACACCCGAGGACTGATTTATCTTCGGAGCCGGAGTGGTGTGGGAAGAAGCCATCGCCGCTCGCCTGCTCCCCACGACAGCTCGCCCGCCATTCGCTTAATTAAAATCATATATTGGTGTGATCAGACGTGGTAATACCATAAAAAACCAAAATCCCGTAAGATCCACATGCTCGTTGTTGGAGGCTGCAGCCAAGGTACCACATAAGCTTTTTTTCTTTTTTTTAAAAATATTTTTTTAATGTTGCCTTACCTTTTTGTCTGCATCACAGTGTTGTCACAGGCTACAATGTTGCCCCTTCCTTGTTAAAAGCTACGTGCCTAAAATACTGCTTTTTTCCCCATGGAATTACAGATTTAGGCCCATGTAGATGCTCTATTATTTCTACAGATATAGAAATATTTCTATATATTTACTACATACATATATAAATATTTTACATATTTATATGTATATCTCCTTTTTACGGGGACTGCTTAGAATATAAGATAAACCCACACACCTAAAAACTATGATTTAATTATATATAATCACTATAATTTGGCCCGTATATATCTTTGATTTTATATATATATATATTACCTTTGTTTTCCTCCATTGGCTTTCTACTACAATGTATCCTAAAAGCAGGAGAAAAAAATGCCATAAAAAAGTAAAAATTAAAAAAGAAAAAGAACAAAAAACAACCCATCTCTTTTTTTTTACAGTCCATGGCAGAAGTTTGTGCCTGAATATTTTATTTGTTCCACAAAGATGTAGATTTTCCTTGGGAGATTTGGGGAGGATTACTTTTTAATGAAAAAAAGGAAAAAATACACCAAAAAAAAAAAAAAAGAAAAAAAAAAAAAAACCCAAAAAAAACCAAAAAAAAAAAAAAAAAAAAGGAAAAAAAAAAAGGCACAACAAAACCACAAAACCAAACTTGTAAGTGAAGCTGCAAATGCAACCGAATAGTCCGGATCAGACAATTCATTGCACAAAAAAAAGAGGATAAATGGAACTGCAATGGCCGGCTTTGCTGTAGATCCGGGAGGAGGGATCAGCGCCTTTATCCCACCATCTCGCGCTCCAAACACCACCATTTTTCTCTCCTTTTTTTTTTTTTTTTGTTTAATGTGGTTTGTTGGGGCGTTTTGTTTCCAGCCGAGCGGGGCTGCACCACCCCCGAGCCGGGGCTGCCAGAGCCGCTCAAGGGGCTTCACTTTTACAGAGATCTCTATTTTTTTCCTCGGCCTTGTGCAATCCTCTCCCTTTTATTACGTGTTTTTTCCCCCTCTGCGGGTATAAAGGTTTCTCTCCTCTCTCCAGCTTGGCTGCTTATTCCAGAAGCTTCCACGGGGGCGGGGAGCCCCCACTGCGGCGCCTTTGCCGCAGCGCCGGGCAGGAGGAGGAGGAGGATGCGGAGGATGCACCACCTCTCCCTGGCTGGGAGCCTCATTCCAAGCCTCTCCCCCTCGCTCCGTTCCCCCAGCCTTGAAAACAGAGCGCTGGGAGGTGTTTGCAACTTGATTTTTTTTAAAATTTTTTCTTTTTCCTAAATAAATGGGAAGCAGAGCTATTGCTGATGGAGATGGATGAGGGCAGGGCTGGCAGCGTGGCCAGGGCACCGATGGCACAAGTGACCTTTCCCAGGCGGTGGGAGGGAGGATTCCCCTCCCACCCCAGCATGCTTCTGCTTGGAATTCATTTTAAATAGCAGGAGTATTATTTTTTATTTTCCTTCCCCCTTCCCCTTGCTCCCTCACTGATTTTTTGGTGGGGTTTTTTTGTTGGTTTTTTTTTTGAAGCTTCCTCACAATCTTTTTTTCCCTGTGTGTGTTTTGAATTGCGTTTTAAAATTGCCCAGCTGGAGACAAGGCTTGATTAGAGCTGGAACAATAGCTCCCTTTTATTAATAACGGGAAGGATTTACAATCCTACAGCACCTTCCTTGGAAAGCTTTCCAAACCATTTGCAAACACTCACAAATTTCAGATTGCGCAGCCCTTGGCTGTGAGGTGGGTAAGTATTTTAATGGTGCCACCACCCAAAATCACCTCCGTGGCAAATCTACATTTCTAAGAGCTTAAAAAGATGACGAATTTGGGGGTTTTTTGGGGGGGGTGGTGAGGGAGGCTGGTTAATAGCTGTAACCTAAATCTGTAGATGCAGATTGTTTGCTGCGTCCTGGGAACTGGGCAGTTCTCCCTCCCACCACGCAGCTTTCCAGAGCCAAGCTGTGGATTTGCTGCACGTCAGTAAACATCTGCTTATGGATTTTTTTTTTATTCCCTTTTTTTAATCCATTCCCTTTTTGCAGTCCCCAAGTGACCTCCTGCAGCGCTGCCTGCGCTGCAGTTCGACCACAGCTTTGCATTGAAGCACTGATGTGTCTCCCTGGGAGCCAGAGTGACCTTGCTGGGGGGACTGGGCCCACCAGGCAATGCAGATGCTCCTCTTCATCCCAGATCCCTGCACCCCTTTTTCCCCATGCATCCCTTCCCTCACTGGGGGGATGTTACAGTGTTACAGAGGGTAAAGCTGTTTCATGCCTTATTTTTTCTGTCTTCTTTTAAATTTTATTTTCTATAAATAGTGGGTTGTTTGTGTAACCCCTCTCCTCATCAGATCCCTACTAACCACACAGGGATCTGCAAGTCTCCTGGGCAGTGGGATCCAGCCTTTCCATGAGTGTGGGGCTCCATCCATGTCCGTGTGTGTCACAGGCCACAAAACCCCACAGTATTCCTGTGGTTAGTTCTGTCTGGAGACCATGAGTGGGTCCCAGGGCTTCCCCTTCCCACCACTTGCTGGTTCACAAGGGCTGATGCTTCTGGAAAAAGCTCTGCCTTGTGGCCTTTTAAAAAAAATAAATAAATGAAGTGGCACTGCTGGGGATTAGTCATCCTTATTTTTGAAGGAAGCTGTTTGCCAGCGCTGTCCGTATCACGCATGTGCGTGTGAGATGGGAACTCCAGAAGGCTGGTAACGTGCTCTGCTCGCTGCTCCTTGGAGCTGAGCCACCCAGGCTCCATTGAGCTGCTCCTGGCAGGTGGAAAAACCAACAGTCCAGCTTTCCAGACCCTTTCCCTCCATTTTTTCAGGGCTGGAATTCCTGCTTTGGCAGGTGTGGAAACGTGGAGGCTGTAACTGCAGTGAGCGAGGATGGATGAGCTGTTTTCTGGGGTCACGTCCAACTCCAGAGAAGAAACCCTGGTGATTTATAATTCTTTTCTTGCCTGTGGTAGATTTTACTCTGAGCTCCGCTGCATCTTGTGAGAAGACTGAGTTTGACCCTTTTGGCTGCTAAAAATGGTTCTGTGTTTGAACGTCGGTGCTTTTTCCCTTCCCTGTGGTCACGTAGAAGAGCGAACCGCGCAATTAACCAGCACAGCAAAGGGCAGCTCCCTCCCCCTTTCCCCTTTCAAAAAATCCAGAGTTGTGTGTCTTGAACTGCTGCATAGGCAGAAAACATACAAAGCCCTTGTCAGCATTGTGCTGATGTGTGGCACATTAAAAAAAATACACACAAAAGGGGTGGGGAGAGCGGGTGCCTCCAGGGAGCAAAACTGTGGGGCCCCTTTCCCTCCAAGCCAACAGACCTACGTGCCATAGTCTATTCCTCCTAATTTTGCTCAGGCGAAGGCAGTGGAGGTCGGAGGGAGTGTTGAATGTCCTAAATTGTGTTGGTGAAGATCAGGGTCCCCTTGAACTATATTTTTTTTTCTCTGTGAACTTGCTCCCACAAGATGCTGCTGGTTTATTACTCCATTCCTCACTCCCTGGGAAGAAGGAAAACACTTCCTTACTGGGTGTAATTCCTTTTGTTGTGTTGCAAAGGTAATAAAAGGCACCTGGTGCTGGTCTCTCCCAGGTCACACATGACTTCAAGGCGCAGCTCCCGTGGTCATTAGTGCACAGGGAATGCTGGGGGTCGTTAGCCCTTAATGAGGACATCAGCATCAGGATTGCAGAGATGCCTCTGGCAGACTAGGCCCTGCCATGCTGGAGCAGCCCCTTATGAGAAATTATTTCACTGCCTGGTTGCTGAAGTGTTTTGTAGCACAGCCACGGCTTTATGCTTTTTTGGCCAAAAATTAAGCAGAGAGGGAGGATGAGGTGGCCAGGCCAGATTTCATCCCCTGCTCCCTGCGGTGGAGCTGGTGTGTGAACACCATCAGTAGCTCCTGTGCCTAAAGACTCATTTGTACTTGGAATAAGCCAGCATGGACAGGGATATTAATGTTATTCCCTCATTTAGGGCTGTGTTGGTTTGGAGATACGCCTCGTGCTCATCACAGGGAGGTTCAGAGAAGCAAGAAGTTGGCTGTTGGGATGATTCCACATTTTTCAGCCTGGCACACCCTGTGGGACTTGGAATTACTTTCCTTTGGCAGTTTAGGATAAACGAGTGAGAATTACCTTATGAGTACTGAACTTTTACCACCCTGAAGACTTACTTGAGCTACATCCATGGCACTTCCAAGCTAAACAAAACCTGGATTTCTGGTGCCAAAAAGTGATACAAACCTCCGCTCCTCCTCTGTGTGGGCAAAACCATGGTCTTGCAAGCTTTCCTGTTATCCCAGAGAGTTAAAATGCTGCACTGTGAGATCTGCAGAGGTGAAATGAACTCCAAAGGCAGATGAGAAACTTCTCCTGTGCTGTGTTGCTGGAGAGGCTTCCGAGAGCAGCAGGTCTTGATGCACAAATATTTCCCTTTGTGCTTTCTCTGGAGCGAAGGAGCGATAACTGCAAGGACACAGGTTCACTCTGCTTCCCTTAAACACCCTCGTGTTGCTGCGGTATCAAAATGGTGTTTGATGAAACAAAAGCTCTGATGGTGGTGGCTCAGTGTTTATTTTGTGCTGGGTGTGCTGATCAGTCCAATGGGGAATGTGGGAAGAGCAGCCTAAGGCTCACAGGTTTGGACTGGGGGTTTGTGTTAAAGCCTTGTCCTGCAACATTTCCAGCCTCATTTCTGTGATTTTTTTTCCCCCTGGGTGTTGCACACAGGAAAAAATTACATTTTGATGTGGAGTTAATACAACAATTAGGTGTTATAAATGGGAAAGTACAGGATTCAGTGATCTGACCAGTCCTAGGGGATTATATCCTTTGCAGTTTTCCTGTTTGAGTATCAAATCACATGGCTTTTTTTTACATTTGTTTTCTTTGTTTTTCCACTGAAATGTAATATTTTGCTGCCTGGAAGACCATAGTCCTGTCTAGCTGATGAAAGCCTTGGATTTGGGAAGAATCCTTGTCAGATGAATGGACACTGCTCTCTGGCACATGGTTATACAGAAGTTGGAGGGCAAGGGGAAGCAGGGCAGAAGCTGGCACAGGGATATCTCTAATTTTTCCCAACAACAGGCAAAAAAATAGGTATTTATTCCATATATTTGCTGTACTGAAAGTGAGAGGAAGCTTTTTTGCAGTCCTGCGATGGCACCTGGGGTTTGGTTGCATGGCTCAGCTCACTGTGCTCTGTTGCTGAAGAAACCTCTGGTTTTCTGTAGCAAAGATTTTGAAAACAGAAATGTGCTTTTATATAGAGATCCAAATGGGTTCAGTGTCAACAGAATTCCAGGGGCTCCTGAGCTGTGTTTACTAGGCTGCAGAAGGTGACTGGTGGCATTTTGTGGCATTTCCCATCCCTGGCACTGTGTGGATAAGAACACCACGGGGAAGAATTTATTTAAGAAAATAAATTACCAAATGCTAGGTTTCAAAAAGGGAGGGAGTTTTCTGCACAAAGTCATCTCGTCGTGAAGATTTGGATCACTGACCCTAAAAAGAACCGAAATCAAGAGCTTTATTAATCTAAATCCTGTGCTTTGTGTTGCTTAAGTCTCCAGAACCCAGCTCTGTGTTCCAAGCGAGAGCCTCTGTCTTGGCAACAAATGAGCCCAAATATCAAACACACCAGTGCCTTCTTGGAGAAAATGAGCATAGAACAGAATGGGTAAGCAATAAAATTAGGCCAATAATTCAGGCTGGCTTAAAAAGGAGATAAAAGCCTAGCTGGGAATTTGATATTCAGCTGCCATAGTGTTCTTTTAATAAATACAGTCAATGAGCAGGGAAGGCACGTAAATACATTTTATCCTGACAAGAGGGTGGCTGGAGCTGGCTGGCTCCAACAAAGAAACATTCCGAGTGTTTCTGGGGGCTCTTGGCTGGGAAGCCTCCTGTTTTCCTATAAAAAGCAGAGATTCTGGCTGTGCCCTGGACCCTGGTGGGGACGATCATCGTGTGCCCGCTGGGGTGCCGTGGTATCCCTTCCTCATGTCCGGCTGGGAGCACAACACACAGAGCTATTGCTGAGCCAGACCCGAGGGGAGGAAGCCTGAGCCAACAGAGCCCTGGTTGCTGTCCTTGCTCAGTATCTAATCTTTGCTTTTGGAAGTGTTTGGCGAGCGGTGCCGGCGACACGTGGCAGCTCCGCCACCCGGGGAAGACACCGTGTTAAAAACGGGCAAACTCGCCTTTTCAAGGGTTTTTCCTGCTCACTTCTGTTTATTGATGTTTTCTCCTCAAAGTGAGGCTGCTGTGTACACCCCAAGGATGCTTTCTGTTTCTCCTGCCCCTTTTTTTTTCCTCCAAACTGGAGAACTGCTAACTTTATTAGCTCCTTATATGGCAGCCCCATTTTCTCACGCCTTTAATGGCTCTCTTTTGATCTGTTCTGTTCTTGCTTTGCTTTTCCTCATGTGAACACAGTGTTCAAGCTGAGATGGGTTTGTAACCTGCTCCCTCACTAATATATGGCCTGGCACTTTAATCCTCTGCAAGTGCTGATAAGAAACATCCAAATGTTTTAACTACGGGTTGGCCGAGATGGCCCGAGATTGCCGGGCACTCGGCTACACCCAGCCAGGAGTCATTTAAATTGTCCCAAAGGCTGAAGGTCATCAGGTGATGCAGAGCAGCTCAAGTCCCCTTGTCCTTGGCTGTTTGGCCCCTGGGAAGGGCAGCACACCGGGATGTGCATCCACGTCTCACCCCTGGATGCTCATCGTGCTGTCCCTCGTGGCAGGACAGTGGCACAAATGTGTGTCACAAGGGTGGTGTTGGTTGCTGCTGCAGGAGACCAGCCCTTCATCACGGCCCCTTTGCTGAGAGAGAGGTTTTGCTCACTCTGGTCTCCAGCCTGGGTCTGTGTTCTTTAAAATCTTCGAGCGAGCTGGAGGGATCCGGTTACAGCGGCATCGCTCGTGTGTTGCAACAGGGAACAGTTTCCCCACAAAGCGTTTGAAAAGCACTGGGATGGTCCAGCGCTTTGTTTTGCGTCACCAGCCGGGTTTTGTGCTCCTCTTCCAGCTGGTTGTCGTGTAAACGGAGCCCTCCTGGCGCTCCTCTCAACCCTCTCTTCTGTCAACAGAGTCGATGGCTTTGTGACAACTTCCAGCCCCGATGTCCTGTGAGATCACTGGGTGACAGCAGTGACCCTGCTGGAGCTTCCCTGGAAGGACCTGGGAGCCGGCGTGGTTTCCTCGTGTCCGTAGGAGATGCTGCCCCAGCAGGGAGGGGGAACAGCTGGAAATGCTGTCGCAGCAAGAACCCTTCATTGGAGAGGGAGAATTCCTCATGGAAAAACCATTTGGTGCATGGTTTGGGTTTTTCCTCTCTGGAATGGGTAACCTGTTAAAGGCAGAGACACCTAGGGACTGCTCCTCGTGCTTCCACCAGTTAAAATGGAAAGCTGAGCCCAATCCCACACTGGAAGCACCGGTGGAGCACGTTGGCTCCATCACATGTTTAAATAATAGATGGTTTGGGTGTAAGGAGTTGTTGGGGTTTTTACTTAATCAGTAGATTCCAGTTGGGCAGAGCCTGTCATGGCTGGGGAAACTGAGGCATGGGGCCAGCCAGGGGTGGGCTCGGAGCCGGGATAAAGCTCGGGGCTGCGGGGCTGGAGTGGCCCTGCGTCAGAGATGTGATTAAATCAAGAGATTTGCATGTTTGTTAAGCCGCTGCAGCCCGCTGACTTTGACCACTTGGCGAGGTGGACTTGTTGCTGGGAAGTTGCAGCGTCCAAGGTGGCAAAAGGCAGCTCTGACAAATAAAATGTGGGTTTGATCAATATTAAAACTCAGTCAGGAGACTTTGGCCATGGAAAACACTGAAGTAGGGTCTGCTCTGTGGTGAAAGCAGTGAACTGGCTTGAAAAACTTGTGGGTGCGTGTTTTATCCTGACCTCAAACTGCTCGGAGTCTCACAGTGAGAATCTGTTGGGCATTTTCCTTTTGGGGCTAGAAATAGGTGCTTTTATCCATGTGGAGGCATGTTTTGGTGGAAAACAGGACCCTGTGGGTTAAAAACCATCTAGTTCTGTGTCGCAGAGCTGCCTTTTGAGCAGGGATGGTGTGACACCAGGCAGGGCGATACTGGCAGCGGGTGATTTCTTCACCCTATCTTAATTAACGAGCTCTGCAAACCCCTGTGGGAGAGCAGGGGGTGAATCCTCCCCACGGTGGGAGTTTCTTCCGCGCAGTTCTCAGGGCAATGTGGTCTCCCTCATTTAATAAGGGGCACTGACAGAGTACCAATGTTCTGAGCTGGAATTTGGCGGTGGGAAGTGTCTCGAGGTGACACAGCCGCCCCAGTTTGGTGGAGGGGAGTGTTTGGGGCAGCCGTGGGGGGCTCCATGAGCCCCCTCCAGCCCCACTCGGGGTTCCTGTTGCTGTGGCCTTTGGAGCCATCACAGATCCCAGAGCCACGGGGGGCCCTCTCGGCCCTCACCTCAATTAATTCCTTACTTGCTCTCCCAGTGGCCACGAGCTGGCTGTGTGCTCACCTGTGAGTGAAGGTGTTTGTGCCTCAGGATTTGGGGATCCTGATGGGATTTAGGGTGGGGGCTGTCAGTGTGGGGTCAGCAGGGCCCCGTGGCTGGGTGCAGCTCCTCAGGCTGTGCCCTGAGGCTGCAGATGGTGCTGGCAGGGCAGCCCTGTTATGTTCCTCACAGCCCCTCGTTAAAAGTCTCACAGCCCCCAATCCCAGTTCTCACAGCCCCCAGTTTCATTTATCAGAGCCCCCATTATGACTCTCACACCCCCAGCTACCACAGCCCCCCATTCTGTATCTCACAGCCCCTCGTGACATTTCCGAGTCCCCCATTACATGTCTTAAAGGCCCCAGTTATGTTTCTCAGAGGCCCCCATCCCAATCCTCAGAGCCCCTCTTCATAATTCTTGCAGACTTTGTTATGCTTCTCTCAGCCCCCCGACTCTGATATCCCTCCTTGTGGCTCACCCCCCATTATATTTCCCGCATTCCCCCATTATATTTCCCCCCATTATATTTATTTCTCACATTCCCCTATCATATTTCCTACATTCCCCCATTTATTTCTCGTCCCCATTATATATTTCTCTCCCATTATATTTATCACATCCCTCCATTACCTTTCCCCCCTTTATATTTATTTCCCACATTCCATTATATTTTCCCCATTATATTTATTTCTCCCCCGTTATGTTTCTCACATTCCCCCATCATATTCCCCCC